TATTTACGATTTTTCAACCCACCCATCCCAGGAAACTCGACAACAATTAAACATTTGCACGAAGCGGAATAATGTTGCGGGGTTGAAACTTTCCAATCAAAACCCGTGAAAACATTTGCAGAGGGAAATTAATCATGGCCGCGGCCAAACATTGGTCGCCCACTTTTACCGGAAGTGTCCGGCTCGGTCAATAGTGTTGGACTAGTTTCTGGGTCGAAGCGACCTTCTTGCTCTTTTCTAGAAATGAGTCACGTACTGAGGTACATCATGGTCGCTCCCTATGAGTTCCACATGGTAAAACCTTTTATGCTGTACGACCGAATGGAATTCCCAAAAATGGACGGGAATGAATTCCTCCTCGATAACCCCTCTATAAGAGGATATCTAATCACTGACTTTGCTACTTATATGTATTAAACCGATTAGATTAAGTTTCCGCGCAATCATCCTGGATTTCGCGGGTTTGGGATTAAGGACCGTCGATGATGATCCGAACTAAGGGATATTTCAGATTTAACCCTTGCAAAGCTGGACTCGGTTATCTCGGTTATCCTCTTAAGGACGCAGTCGGCTTTCAGGAAAAAGGAAAGTGTTCTTTCCTTGGCCGTGGCACACTTAAGGCGATCTGCAGGGGTACGATGATGCCCCCGAGGGTATTCGTGACTAACGCTCTCGGAATCGAGCTCCCTCTTGTGCTCCTCCCGAACGTAACCTCAAATAGGAATTGTATGTCCGATTTAAAAAAAAAATTAATTCAATGAATGAGAAACATTATCCGACTGGAATAAACTCCAATAAATTAGCGGCAACATTTCTTCGTAATTACGACAATTTATCCGAGTCAAATAAATATGCAATGAATTTTTTGTTCTCAGGCTGAAAAATGACACAGCATCCGATGAGTCAGATATCGGTGGGCACAGCAGAGAGGAGATCGCTTCTCTCTTTATTTGTGCCCATAATTATGAAAGTGGTCTAAGTCATATATTTTTGTTTCGAAATTACATTGAATTAATTTCGTTCAAAATAATGTGGCGCGAAATAACTGATAAACTCATTTTTTTTCAATTTTGACTTAGACCACTTTCATAATTATGGGCACATTTGAACTTCTGGATATTCCGGGTGCCTCCCGATTCACAGGAGGCGAGCTGATAACGCAAAATCCGATCGAGGCAAGTGATTGGCGTCCTCGATAACGATCTACCATTCCGTCAGGCTGAGCTCTTCCTCCGTTTGTTTTTCACCGCTTATCGGGACCACGGGCGGAGTTTAACCTTCTCTATCGTTTCCCTTTTCCTCTCCCTGACTTTCTCCGATGTAGTCCATTTCCCCGGGTCGTTATGTCGCACGGCTAAAAATACGGCTCTAAGTGCATAAGCGCATCGGTGACCCGATAACGCCGATATCGAGCGCCCTGTAACGTCGATTAAGAGGCGCGATAACTTTGAGTCATACTTCGATTTGTGATTCAACCAATGCTTCCGCAACCTCTCGGTAATCCTCGAGCAGGAGAAATGACGACCGACAGGAAATGTCACGAGCAGAAATACACAGGAACAATGGTCAACCTTTTTCCCGACCTACACGGCATATTCTCTTCTCTTCGCAGTGCGCATCACAAACAATCGATTCCAGCCCGACTCCTGAAATGTCACCTACTGATACCACGAGGAGCGTTATCGCCTCCGCGGGTGCAATTTACCTAGCAAATATTATTTAACATAGAACAATCGGGCAAACATGTTGACTTTATGGATGTGCCGAGTAAGACAGTCCGAGTAACCGCAATTTATTCTCAGGCCAACCGCAATTTCGACAGTAAGGACGCCCGTAAACCTATCGCTGCGGCGTCGCACGTGCTGGTTTACAATTCACGGCGAAAGAATCGCCCCCGCCCACGTGACTCGTTTGTTGGTTATTTATTTATTTCTTCCGTTAATTGTCTCTCAAACAGGCGTCGCACACCCGGTACAATCTGCCGTTGGGCGAATCGTCGTCGTCGTTAACCCGTCGTTAACGACGTTTGCTGTGTGTTCGTATCACCAACGAGGAACTCGTTCGAACTCGTCCCTTGGCGGACGCGCAACGTAATGACCGATAACGCCGCTCGACGCAGCGGTCGTCGCTTCGTTAATTGTAGAAACCTTAAACCTCCTTATAAACCGCCTACGCGCGCCAGCGGGAATTCACTCCGCAGTGGTCCGAACGAGCACAACGTATGCGCGTGTACTATAATTAATAAAACGAGTATTCGGGACCTTAACCTCGCGACGAGTCGAAAATCAAGATGGCCGCCGGAAATGATAGGATAGAGCTTGACCGAGTCGGGGCGACTTCCATGGTCAGCTGGACGGGCCTTTTGAGAGATTAACACGAGGCAAGGCCTCGTAAGTTTGAAACAAAGTGGCAGACCTGCTACCGGTCACCAGTTTCCACCCACGCCACTCGGTAGCCGGTCTAAATATACTCCAGGTCCGCTACCGGTTTTAAATCTCGTTGTTACGGAGGGAATAAAACGAAACTGGCTGCAAGATCGAGGGCACTTCCGCCCGGTTCGAGCAGAATTTTCCATTCTGCTGGAGGACGTGCTTGAGTTTGAAGGAAGGAAATTCAGGGTCTGCCGATTTCTGGATTTTAATTCCAGATTGCCTAGGGGTATGCTCGGACATGTACCGTCTTTCGGTGTTATTCCTTTTACTTTTTATTACTCTTTTAAGGTAAAAAGTTAGGTCCCACCGAGATTTGAACTCGGATCGCTGGATTCAGAGTCCAGAGTGCTGACCATTACACCATGGAACCTCGTATTTTGGTTATTTAATTTCTCCTCACGTTTTAAATTTATTCCTTTAAAGTAAATGTCAAAATTTAGGTTCCACCGAGACTTGAACTCGGATCGCTGGATTCAGAGTCCAGAGTGCTGACCATTAGATCATGGAACCTTCTATCTTACTTATTTAATTATCATTCACGTTTTGCAATTTATTCGATTAAAGTAAAACCAAAATTTAGGTTCCACCGAGACTTGAACTCGGATCGCTGGATTCAGAGTCCAGAGTGCTGACAATTACACCATGGAACCTTCCATCTTACTTATTTAATTATCATTCACGTTTTGCAATTTATTCGATTAAATTAAAACCAAAATTTAGGTTCCACCGAGACTTGAACTCGGATCGCTGGATTCAGAGTCCAGAGTGCTAACCATTACACCATGGAACCTCGATGCTAATTTAATTCGAGGATTTTTAATCGCCCACTTTTTTCGGCAGTTATCCTGCTTTTATCGGCGAGGATAACGAAGAGCTCGCGATAGCATGACCTCAAATTTGATCTTCGCTAACGTCGGCTCGTAGGCGAATATATCGCGTAATTATTGTGCGATGCACTGTCTGACACGATAAGGCGTCATCGCGCTACATCGCCGGCGAATAAAGTGCCGCCGTGGCTGGATGGAAGGAAATGTTTTATTTATGTCGGAATATTGAATGTGCCGGGCGTTTTAGATCGACACGATTATCCGGGGGATCAGACTCGATCCCATCAGGGGCAGTTTTAAAGTTCTTTCGAAAGATTCGCCCCGCGGCAGGATCTTACCGCTCGTATTACCCTGTCACGGTAATCTTACAGGCCTTTGGGCGGATTATCGTGTCACCGGGATAATCTTATCTTCTGGACGGCCAACACCGTGCGCAATCGTGTATTAACCGAGTCCAACGAACGAAAATTTGACGAGACGTTGAGTTTCGATTGTCGCATACTCCGTTCCAGCCTCTGCGAATTATGGAAAAAAAAAAACGTGAAAAAAGAATTAAACCCCCCCCGCGAATTATTTATTTACGTCAATTTAAAATTAATGCCATACAGAAGAGATTACAATTTCCTTGCGTTATCGCGATCTCAAATCCGGCTTATCGATCGAGCGGTACAAGTGCACTCCTAGGGGGTATATACGCTCCTCGTTAATTCAACCGACTCAATGCATATCAACGACTAGTACCGTAATTTCTTCATCACGTCATTCGGGCAGAGATTCCAATAGATGCACCTGTCCTTTACCCCCCAATCCCACGTGCAACGACATTGCCTCGTTGTCTGGCCCACCCGTTAATTTACTCCTCCTATCATTAACGCATAGTGTGCGCAGGTAATCCTCAATCATTCATCGGGCGCATTGAATGGCACGAATTAGATGCACTTTCGTGGCTGGAAACAGACAGGAATAGACCCAAAGGGGGACAGAGGCGAATTGGATGCACCGGATGGAAGCGGGCTGTACAGATTGCGGAAACGTTGACGGGATTGAACTCGAATAACGAGGAAAATTTGACGTTACAGTCCCCCTGGCGGGCCAACAACGGTGCCATAATTCCTCGATCATTCCGATACACCAGGAGAAGAGACAAGGACCGCAAAGACTTCCGCACAATTTTATTGCATTTCGATACACTTCCATGGGTCTTTAAAACAATCGTCAAAGTGCCGGTAATTCATCATTCCCCGTTCGCTATCTGGTGGCAGCTGCAGCTCGTGATTTTTCCAGGCTAGAACTGGCGCGCTCGGCTGAAGTGTATCAGGCCTAAAGTACGCAGTTAAACTCTCGGAGCTCTGTCCAGTGTCGATGGTGGGTGGTGAACACGTTGGTCCGTGTCGTACGCGCCTTCGCCGGTGCACGGCGCGCGTGTATCGGCCGTCTCTCTCGGTAGCTCGGGGAGGGCCGCGCGGCGTCTCGCTCTCAGAGGTTCAGTGGGTGAACGTCCACGGCGGGCGAGCGCGGGGATCCGGCAGGATTACCACCCCGTGAACGCCGCTCCGTTCGGCATACATCGTCCCCACTCCGGCGGCCGGCCCCCACTCCGCGGCGTCGTGCGCACGCATGCCCCCACCACGTGACTCCGGCCGCCTGGTGGGGGGAGCAGCGGTCGAGCGACCGCGAGGCAGGCGAACGTCAGGCAAAAGCATAGAATCATTACCACGCCAGACCTCGAGGAGTACGAACGTGTCAGTCCGTTTGCCAAGCTCAGTCGAGATCTCGCGTGCCTCGCTCGATTGCTCGCCCTGACGCGCGTTGACAGTCTCCGCTCCGACCTGTGTTCACATTCGACCCTGCTCTAGTGGTGGTGGTGGTGGTGGTGCTGCTGGACGATCGCGCTCGCATGCCCTCGACCGGGCTCGACGGCGCAGGGACCGCGGACCGGACTTATTCCTCGTGAGTGCGCTCGCGGTGCGGCTTCGGGACCACTGGGCGACCGGCCGCGACCGGCCGACGCCTCGCCGCGTCGCGGCAGACGACCACCGACCGTCCGCCGCGACGGTCCGCCGCCCGGCACCTATGGACATAGATCCGTTCGAAGATCCACCCTATCGGCGCTCCAGGCGGCGAGTCTGAGCGCGGGGCGCTGCCCCGCCGCGCCCCCTGGGCGCCCACCGACGGCGACGCCGACCACTCGAGCCGCCCTTTACCTTCCACCACCGGACCCCGCGTGGTGCCGCGCACCGCTAGCGGCCGATCCGCCTCAGAATCGCCGCGGGTCCGCGGCTACTGGTCGATCTGCATTCCGTCGAAACGCCACGTTTTTCACTTCCCAACTCCAACCGAGGTTCCACGACTGCCCAAGGGGGCCGTTGTCAGCGACCACGTGCGCTGCCGCGCGCAGAGTGGAGGCCCCACGGACGCAGCCGCGCAAGTAGCGTAGCCGAGGTGTTGCACGGACCGAGCTGAAGATAACATTGGCTCCCCTTCGAGCAGACTTTTCGCCCGAGATATGGCGATTCCCTTCGCCCTGCCGTCCGAGGACGAGGCCGAGGCTCAGGGCCAACAGCTGGAGCAACTCATGCTCGACCTGTACGCCGCGCTGCAACAGGTCCTTCGCATCAGGAACGCTCAACACCCTTCACGAAACCGTGAGTACCGACCTACCGACATCCAAGATCCCCGGTTGACGACCCTGGCTCTCCTCCTCCTTTGTGCCATTCGAAAGGCACTCGAGGAATGAAAGTGACTTTCTGCGTTTTGGGAACGTCGGGTCAGGTCGGGTCCTGGGATGGAAGAAAAACCCTTTCGAGATCCTTCCGACCAACCGGATCGGGACCGGGAGCATCTTCAAAGTGAGGCTGATCGACTCTCCGCGGAAAGGCTCTCTTACTATCTGTATCTCTCTAAAATAAATCTGCCGATGAAATTTCCATGGTAATAATTGCCGCCGGGAAGATCGTGCCGCTAATTGCGGGGGTGGATTATTTACTTTTTTTTACGCCTTTGAGATGATTTCTCGGGATTTGTTGGATGGATCGCAGCGCGGCTTGGGGACGAATTCGAATGTCAGTGGTGCACTTTACATGGGAGATTGGTTTCCGTCGATGGAGCGTGTCGAGCGGTACACTTCACGCGTAAACGCGACCGAGTGATTGCGTCAGTTTCGTGTCACGAGACCCGATAACGAGTCGAGGGTGTTCTCGGACGTTTCGATGTATGTGTACGTCAAACGGTGACGATATCTTAACGGGTTTGTATCGGCCAGGAGGTTTAATCTGCGGTCTCCTCTGGCTGTCAGTCGGCCGATACCGCTCACTTATCGCGACTCTGCCGATAATGCACAAATAGCGACCCACGAATCGATTAGGAATCAGTAAGTGAAATAACAGCGGAGCTCGTCATCGGCACGAATAATTGAGATTTGTCGCAACCGGTGACGTCGTTCTATGCGGACACCTCGGATGACACTTGCGGAGAATTTCTCCCCGTTCTAAAAAATTCGGGATAATTCAAGACGACACGAGAATTTGATTTTCTCACGGTTAAACCACCCATAGAGGACTTCCCCTAAATCTGACGCGCGGTCCTCGACGTCAGGACTCGTGACTTTTTTCTTTATTCTTCTTTTACTTAAAATTCGGAAACTCTCGAATCGCTCGGAAGTAAAATCAAATGGATTCTGAGATTTCGTCAGGATTTCGGGAATCACTGACGTGTAGGGTCAGTGACCGGGAGGGATCGTCGGAATGGTGACAGTGGTCGATGTCTTCTGAGTCAGCCCCAAAAAATGTCACCTGGTCCAGCCGAGGTGATTTCTCGATGAAAATCGAATTGTCGGCGATTACCTCGGAAGTCAGTTTCCTCCGTTTTACCAAGTTAACGTGATCTCTCCACGAGGAAGTGAAAAATGGAAAATACGAAAATTCAAAATGCAAGATCCATAATTGAAAATCCAGAGTTCGTCCACTTCGAGTACCGTCTCTTTGTTCGAGGTGTCAGAGTTGCGCACGTGCTCGACGGTCCCTCGCGCCGAGGGCTCGACGAAAGGAAAATCGGGAAGGAAAACCCGGAGGAGGTTAAAATGCAATCCCGGTAGAGTAATCTATACCCGAGTTGCGGTTTTACGAGAGCGAAACGCGCGAGGGGGCACACAATAGACGCAGTGTGGGTGTAGAGGCGAGAGCGCGGCAGACGATGTCCGGCCGTGACCCTAGCCGGTCGAGCCTCCTTTCGCGAGATGACCACTGGTCAGCGGTGCAGTAAAACGCACTATAAAACCGGAGTCAACGGGCGCGCTATACGGCGAATCGAAACCTCGAGGATGGCCCGGGAATATGGTCGCGACGAGTTTCCTCCGGGACGGGAGGAAGAGAGGTACGGTGCAGGAGAGAGACGGCCGCCCGGCTGTTGACCGTTGCAGCTGCATCGGTGCATCCAGGGTGCCGCTCCCGAGGTGGATGGCGAGATCTCCTCGGGCTTTACGAGTCCCTTCGCGCTTCCTGGCCACGGAGCCGCGATTTGCATCCAATTTCCCTCGGACGGGCCGAAAAGGAAAGGATCGAGAAAATGGTCGCGCACTACTTACCCCGGAGTTATGCAACGGGGATATATGGGCCGTTGGGTGATGTATGCACCGCGCTTTATGCATGTAACGGGCCCGTTAACGAGGGTTAACGCCCGGCTACCGATTTTTTTTCTTGATTTTATTTTTTTACTGCGGGATACGCTGTTCTCTATATACTCTCGAGAGGTGTCGAAATCCCCCGCGTTCGCCGTCGTAATAACGCTTGGCACGGTGTAATTTGTTACTCGCGAGGGTGTTCCGGGGTATCGGGGGTCAACTGCAACTCACGGGGCAGGCAATGCGATTAATGGGGCGTTTGCACCTGGTTGGTCGGGATTTTTTAGGGACTAGTGTAAGATTCGCGGAATGCTTCTACGATCGCCTTGGAGATCATCAGGGAAATGAGGTTTATTTGATGGTATTTTTTTTTTCTATTTTTTTTTAATGTTGCTTTATAAGGAGGAACCATCTGGGGATATTGTCCATCGGGTCAGTAGCCACTCTCGCGGGATTCAGGAGGATTCGGAATTGCAGGGAGCCGTGCACTCGGGCTGTTGCATCAGATCGGGGGTAGATATTTATAGAAACAGCTGCGCGCAGCCCCGAGCCTCGTAACATTTGTTGAAAACTCGTGTATTTTGCGCAAACGTCGGCCGCGGGCGGTTACGATTGAACGGCTCTTGTGTGCGGCGACGATGGACGGCCGTTTTTCTCCTCTTGGCGTTTCCTCGAGGCTCCTCCGTTCCTTCGATATGATGGATTTTCATATCGACGCGTCGCCCTTGAGGACCGATTTCGCCATTTTCACGCTCGACGGGAAGAGAAGTCTTGCCTAATCCTCGAGGCGTAAATCTTCTGCGATTGCTGACTCGGCTCGGATTTTCCAAGCAGGCTCTTCGGCTCGTGCCTTTAGTCCCTATTTGGCCGATCTAATCGATCGATTAAATCCCCGGTCGATGTCTTTTTTGGCCTCCGCCGATTCCATGATTCCTTCGTCTTGAAAACGCGGAGGCGGCTATGCTGGCCGCCCTAGGGCGGAGGAGCGACCATCGATCGTAGGAGATTATAGACACGCGGAACGTGGATAATGGAACCGCTATAGATGCGCATGAAGTATTGAGGGAATTTGTCATCGCGGATTCCCGGCGATTCCGCAGATCCCACTCATAGGAACTAACCGATACCAGTCGGGGTTTCAACTTCCTACGACGGTAATTCGTCGCGAATCGATGCGCTCCCCCCGTCGATTATTTCGAACCGTGTAAAGCGGTCGTGCACGCACGTTACCAAAGTACTTTATGAATACAAAGAATACACAGAAGGGGGGGGGAGAATCATGCCACGAGGAGTAATGCCCGCTAGACGTTAATATTTAACTCGCGGCTTGCTCTTGGGATCCTTTTGTTTCCAGGAATTTTCCCGGCAAGGGGAGCCCCTCGATTCCTGGATTAAATTCACCTCTGTGGCTCGCATTTTCGGCTTGTCGCGTTCTAATTCATTTCTATGGGCAATTGTAAGTTGATATCATTTGAAGAAGAATTTCGCGCGATGGGAATGATCATTTATTGGGTGCAAAATTTTGTCAGGCTCATTTTGAGGATATGAAACATTTTTCCGAATTATGGCCAAGGCGCCTCGCTCGGTCGCAGGTAATGAACTCGGTAAACGCGCGATTCTCCTCTTTTGTTTTTTCTTTTTTTCTAATTCTTTCACGCCACGAATCGACGCTTTCCGCTCGGTACACATTATTTCCGCCGTGCGTAACGTCGGTGCGTTTACGCTCGCCCACGGTGGCACGCGTCTCCAGCAGCCATGAAATTCAGCCGATTTTATCTCTCGCTCGACCCTATCCGACTTTGCTCGCCTCGTGTAATGTAAATTAACCGGTGCGCACACCGGAAAAAAAAAAAAATAAAATAAATAGCATCAAGCGTCACCGCTATGAGCTATGAAATAGGCGCCGATGCCTGAAAAGGTATGACATACAACCACCAGAAAAAAAAGTTAACTTGACAATTCGTAAGGTTACTTATAATTAATTTAACACTATTTTTCCTAAATGCAGGACAGTACTGTCTCTGCTTGACGCCATCAAATTCCCTTCAGGGTTTTCACGAGATTCGATTCTCCTTGCCATGCCTCTTCCCCGTCAACTAGTATTTACATTAGCGAACGGCATATTCCGACTTTCTCCTCGCTTCGACGAGGTTCAAGAGTTCACACTCGCCGGGTTCTTATTCGCGTGGCATTTCTCGCGAGCGGTTCACGCCTGCTTGTCCTCCACTCCCGTCGGGGGTGTGGCTTTTATGCGTTTACGCGTGTACGCGTTTACACGTTTACAAGTTTACAAGTTGAGCGGCTCCTCCGGCCATGAAATTCGACCGGGTTTATCTCCCTCCTCGACCATTTTTCAACCATTTCCAACCTCGGTTGCCCCCAAGAATTGCCATCCTCCGGTTGCGCGAGCGTGCACTCTTTTACTGCACTTTGGCGCAACTCACCGCCACTTCACGGCCGCTTAAGTTCGTTTTATCGCGTGGCGTCTCCATCGGGCATGAAATTCGGCCGATTTAATCTCTCCACGACCCTCGCCGTTGTATTCTCTATCAACCATCCCGATCGGTGTTCAACCGGGCCGCGATTGCGCGTGCGCAGAGGAGCTCCTAAAACGCGCCCTTCGCGGAAATCGCCGATTTTCTCATTCTTTTTTGACTCCCCTTGCTCTCGAATACGAGAGCTGGTCGCTGCCAACCTTCTGGGAACTGATCCTCCGACATCGCGCGCGAATGGGCTTGCTCGTAAATCTCGCATCCCTCTCGCGGGGACTCGCGTGCGAACGAGCGAAAGACATGCACCGAGTGCACGGGATGCATCGAGGATGACGCGGATAGAGACGAGGAGGATGGCGATCGGTTTCTTCGAGGATAAGTTCAACATATATACAAGCCATCGATAGTGCCCTGGAAATGAGACTTCTAAATTAAAGAGAATTACTAGACTTTCTTACCCCGTCGACTGGGCATTAGGTCGACTATTGCGTACACGGGTACGGGAATTTCGCCCATACGGAAGAAGGGCTTAGCT